TTTAACCATTTATGTAATCTGACAAAACCTCGAGGACAACTTTTCAATTAACACAAACTCAAGGACTATTCAGTTACTGCCCACTCACCAACAGATTGATTCACAGCTTTCATGCAGAGATTCTCATAATACTCCTTCCCTCTCCCTCTGCAGCTCCTGAGGACATGAAACCCGCTATCACCCTCCCCAATGCTCGACTCACCATACTCGACCCTCCCAAGACCCTCAATATGTTTCACCCTTTCCATCAGCTCGACATCTGATGGGCTCGGATAAGGCAGCCCAACCATCACAATGCACCGGCCCATCCCATCACTAAAATTGATGCCTTCAGATATTTTCCCGCCCACAACCGCAAATAGAATCGCACCACTGCAGGATTTGATGCCTTCGATTGCTTCTCTGTACTCTTTCAGGACAGCGTCGACCTCTGTGCTCTTCCTGGGCTCCCTGAAGACACGCTTTCTCTTAGAAATTCTCGAGAGGATTCCGGAAGCCCTCCAGGCCTCGTGGACCTGGTTTTCGTAGTCGAAAGACGAGAAAAAGACAACTATACCCTCAGGAACCACCATCACTAGATTGGATATCATGAGACCTAGCTCTGAAATCTGCAGCAAAATGGGAGGGAGAATTTGTAACTGTAGAAGATAATCTGATTTTTTACGTCAAAGGGCAACTTTATTTCTTACCATGGTTGATGAGCTTCTGGCTTTGTAGCTGAAGTCGAAGGACTGGCCAGAAGGCCCGTACTTGACAGCAATGGGCATAATATTTTCGGAAGGAATAACATGACCACATGCGAAGAAGGGTAATTTTTCAAGCCGCAGTGATGGGAAAAGCCTTTCCTTTGTTTCCTCTATTGGCTGTAAAGTTCCTCCGGCCAAGATAACTGCATGAGCTTGGTCAAGGACCTATCCGAAAGGAATTGATAATTGATCAAAAGATGAATATGAAAAATGAAAAAAAAAAAACTTAAAAAGCTACAGAATATCAAAGATGTAAAATTTCAGGCCAACCTCAGAAAAGATTTTCTCTCCAGTAAGCATGACATACTTTATATATCCTCCTTGTAGCCCATCACACGTTTGCACAGGTCTTGAGACTATTATTTTTCCATCACTGTCCTTATTTATCAAGGATGAAAGAATATCAGCCAACGCTCTAAAACCAGATATTGCACTTTCCTCAATAACTACTTTGTCATCTTCAGCATCAGCAGAGCTTTTGAAGACGGCAACTTTATCTCCATAACCACTAACCTAAATAGACAGAGAAATACTTAAATTTCAACAGACTAACATTACTAGAGGACTAGGAAACAAATGTTGAATGAGAAATAAAGAATAGCAGCTACCTTGTAAATTATGTTGCTTTCTTTCATGTATTGCAACAGCTTGACCAAGTTTATGTTGTCAATATTTAGAGCAAATAAAAACTCATTTATGGTCATTGTGTTACTTTTAATCTCCTCGGCTTCACATGGAGGATTAGAGTGGCTCATAACTTTCCCATCATCAGACAACATTTCGAGAAAAGCTCGAGCGAGGGTCATCAGAGTCTGGATATATCTTCGGTTACCTGGTCCGAGAAGATTACGGAACCGTCTAAAATACCCGTCCAAGTGACACTTCAATTGATTCAACTGATAGTGAAAAGCGAATAGTTGAGTTGATAGTACACCAAAATACTTATTAAGAAGCTCAAATAGTGAAAACGATAGAAAATGACAAGGTAAGGCTGCTAATTACCTGGGACACTGTAATTTTTGCATCGTACATACTGATGAGAGTATCGGCTAAATTATGGGCTTCATCTATGATAATAACACTATTTTTCAAATTCAAACCCAGTGATTCACGAGATGATTTTGAAAGAAGAGACTGATAAGGAAGAACCACAAGGTCTGCTGCAGGCATCATTCTTCTTGATCCATAATAAGGACAACCTCCCAAGTTACGTCCAATACTAATTAGATCTTCTATGTCAAGAGCCTCCCTCTGCATAACTTCGTTCCTGAACTCTTCTATTTTCCGTCTCCTTAGCATCGGACATCCAGAGGACGATTTGTTACAACGTACTCTCTTTCCCGCACCCAATTTCTGCTAGATCAGCAAGACAACTTCAAGAAAACATAATATTACTTTGGTCGCGTAAAGGAAGAAAAGAAAACAGGAGGCATATTTCACACAGAACAAGAGGCAAGACAGCTTCAACAACACACAATATGGTTTCCATCAGATAAAGAAAGAAAAAATAAGGCATATTCAACCAACATAGAAAATTACAAGCAGGAACACATCCAAGATAGCTCCTAGAACAGATAAATGTTTCCAACTTAATATGCATCAAATCCAATTCCGATAATTTCTTAACAAATCAAAAGAAGATAATACCTTCATTTTAGAAGCTTCATTCTTCTTATTCTTTTGAAGCTCCAAGCACCTCTCACTTATACGTGCCGGATTTCCCAGCCTCACTACCTCTATAAATAGAAAACCGACAAACAAAAAAAAAAGGTTCAGTGTTCTGAAACACGTACCGCACACACTCAGCCGAAACTACAACTGTCATACAAACATCAACAAGGAATAGAAAACAAATCAGCATTCTGATAGAGCGCGCGCACACATACAGACACACACACCAAATTACGACTGCAACACAAAAAACTAATTATAGTGAGTAGTAAGACCTCAGACCTTCATTGATGCAAAAATTTTTCCTGGAACCCAAGCAAACAACCTTCAGGTCACTCGCAAATTTAGTCTTCCTCAGCTCTTTCATGAACTGTGACAGCTGTGAGTGTGTCCGACTGCAGAAGAAGATCTTCAAACGTGTCTCCTCTTCTTCCTTACCATCCAACTCTTCTCCCTCGCTCGATAAATCATCATCCACACCGACATTCTTTCTTTTCGATTTCCCCTCATTTTCTTCATCACTCTCATAATCTTCCAACAAAAACTCATCATCATCCACCTCATCACCCCCATTCTTCACCTTCTTGCCATTAGCCATCTCCTTTTCTACTTCTCCTTCACCAAGGGTAATCAGATCTCGGAAAGAATCTTCCTTTCCCTTCGGACGGGACCCAATTTTATTTCGTTGTACTGGGTTTTTCGGCCCCATTAATTCCTGCTCTTTATTTGGTACGAAGTTTCTCATCCAGTCTGGCTCGTCGTCCTCCCCATTAAGCTCACCCGAATTTTCCACCCCACCATTTTCCAAACTCTCCTGCTTCTTCCTGTCTACAAGCCACTGCAGAGCACTGCATATCATGCTTAGGGTTTTCCCAGTCCCTGTCACAAACCCAGACATCAATCCAAGCACTCCAATAACAGAAAAACACCCTAAAGAATAGAAAAATGAAAATTTAAAGTAAAACAATTCAGCCAGAAACACAACAATCTATCAAAATGCCCTCAAAATCGAATACTAAACGAATTAATGGCGGGTTAAAGGCAACGATCATGTTACTACGAAATATGACCGATTAAAGCATGGCACAAAACTGCGACTTACCCGTTGGGCTTTCGAGCATGGAAATGCCACCTTTGTCGAGGGATTTGTATAGGAATTTCATGAAATCGAGCTGGATCGAGTAGGGTTCGTAAGGGAATGCAGGGAATTCAATTTCGGTGCTGTTCTCCATTTGTGCTGTCGCTAGTTCTTCTTCTTCACTGTGGTTTGATTATTTCATCGCCTTCCACAGACTGCAATGGCTCGGAAATTAGCGGCAAATAATCGAAACTCTGCTTGTAGCTTGCCTTGATTTTCCCGCGCTATGAGAAAACTCTCTTGTTTTTTTTGTCAATCGCTATTCACCGCCCCCCTTTTACTAGTCACCGCCCCCCCAATTACTCTTTTGCCCTTAACCCTTTTTTTGATTTCATCTCTCTAAACTTTCTATCTCTCTAAACTTCCGAACTTCAACGAACGATTCGAGCGTCAAAAAAAATCCAAAAAAATGTCGAAAAAATTCTACGGCCTCGGCAAAGGATTCTTCTCCAACAAGGTAAATTTTTTTTTTTTTTTTT